GAGCTTTGATTTTATATAATCTTAAAAAGACCCTATTAATTATTCTGAATTTCGTACATAGAAAACAGTAAAAAACATAAGTCAAAGGACATCAGTGTATCAATAAATTGTCATATTCTTATGTAAAATGAGATTTTCTTTGTAACAAGGCAAACCAGAGAGTGGCTGTTTTTATCACATATTCTAGACAGCAAATGAAAAACAGGGTAGAGGGCTCGGCTCTAACGGATAAACGGTCCTGTAGTTACAGGTCAAACAATTTTCTAGATCTGAGTGGATATTTTATACAAAAACCAGATTGAATACATATTTCATCCTGATTGTCGATTGGATAAAGAACTCAAAAAGATTTTCTTTTTTATCCAAAATGTAGAGCTTTGTATGCTCTATCCTTTTGTCTATTTTAAAACTTTTCTGCGTTCGTCATTGCCATATTAATGTAGTTTTAACAAGGGGGAAAAGCGGACTCCTGGACTCCTATGGACTCCTTATTTAGAACGAAATCTAACGGTAGCAAAGCAACCAGTGTTGATGGTGTGAAAGGCTATTCGTCATTAATGGATATTTTTGAATACCCATCTCAGCTTGTGTTCGATTACATGCATTTGGTATGTCTCGAGCATGCTCCACAATTGATAAAACGCTGGCGCAAGGCAATAAATAAGCAAGCTATTCAAGATATAGATAGCATGTTACAACGAATACGTATTCCACATAACATGCGAGTGGTTTATCTTGATCCAATTACGGTGGTTGATCAACGGAAGGTAAAACATGCTCGTTTATTTGTCTTGCATGTGGGCGTGCCAGTATGTGTTGCCTATCTATCTCCATTATTCGCTTCTCACTTCGTCGTTTATTCTCTGGCTATGAAACTATTACATGCACCTGATTCGACCGAAGAAATCATTTTCGCTAAACAGTTGATTAACTTTTATTGTAAAACAGCACCGCTCGTCTATGATTTGTCAATCGAATTATTTTCTTTACATGCACATCTTCATCTGCCAAAACAAGTCGAAGTTCATGGAGCACTAGCGTTTACTTCGGCAGACACGTTTGAATCATGCATAAGATTCATCAAAAAGAAAGCTCATGGAACTGGGAACTTGGCTAGCCAAATAGCGTATTGGATTGATATTCAGTGTATTATGAAAACTAGTCCGTTCGTAATATCAACGTCTGCTGTCATTAACGTAAGTTGATTGATCGTTACAATCATTCCACCTTTTAATAACCGTTGTGCCATTTCAGAAGATACATATTGATCACACTGTCGTTAGTCCATATCGTACGATATTATTGAGACTTTTAACTGTTTACAATCAAGATGTTCGTGATGTTGTATTATTCAAAAGTTGATAACAATGAAAATAGCAACCGTTTATTGAGTGAGAAAATCAATTTGATGAATCGGATTTTAACTCAAAATGATCAAATCCTTGCTCAGAACGCAATTTTGTTATCGTTTCTTACATCGTCCGCAAAAGAAGAAAAACAAACAAAAAACCTAGATCCTTTTGCTCCTACCTTCGTTTCTGAGCAT